AACCAGATTATGAGAACTAATGCAGTACTGTTCAATGACAAAAGCAAATAACTCTTTGAATGATCTTGACAAAAGAACATAAAATCATCTTAATTTGTATTAACTAATTACATTTAACAAAGATGTTTTTTATCTATTACCTTAAGTGAAGCATCAGTAGAGCAACTTCCCCCATCTCATTTTAGGAGTAGATCAAAGCAACAAGAATTAGGAATACTGAAATGATATTGTGTAAAATTTTACACTGATGGAGTTCTTTTAAAAATTTTATTCTCAGAAAGGGACATGCTTTCTCTGTATTCCATATAAAAATCTTTTAATTGCTTTCAAATGAGGAGTATTGGGAAGAGGAGGAAGGAAGAAGAGGGAAACATTTCTTTGTTTAAAACAGAAGAGGAAGAAACTCTTCTACCTTTTAGAGTAAAGCTTCATTGCCTCGGCAGAAGTTCTTAGAAGCAGAGAACCCAGTCCCCTGTCCCAGACATGTTCTGTCCTGCATGAGCACTGGGCTGAGTTCACAGCACCCACACACCCTCAAGGTGTTGTTCGCCAGTCAAGAGGAAACCAGAAGCACTGTGTCTCTGCTTCTATGGGAACTGTTTAGCACATGAATTGGCTTCCACTGGCAAAATCATGCCCTTCAATATGATTAATTTTTCCCTTCCTTAGGATTACAAGAATCATAATTACCATGACAATGATCAAGTCACTCTCATCCTCAGACAACTACCTGGCTTCACTGAATTATTTGGGCCAGAATTACATTCTTGTGTTTTCAATGGAGAGAAGCAGTGATCAAATGCACTTCTCACCTGAAGAGAAATAATGAAAACTACCCAGAAAATTAAGGTGTATCAAGAACCGCAAACCTACATTGGCTGAAAATACATGGAAATATTTAGAGAGGAAAATATGATAAGGTTCTTCTGTGTTCCTCATGGTTATTTTCCTGTTCAGAGTTTGCTGTACATGTAAATTCTTCACCATTATGTGTTTGATTCCAATTGGACCCACTCTGAAAACTGTAATTTGATTATTCATCTTAATTCACTGACTTCCACAAGAAAAGAGACAAGGAACTTATACACTCTGTTAGATTTTAATGGTCTTGGTAACCCATTTGTTCTGTAGAATCACCAATTCATTCAGAAACTCTACAGTAGTTTCTTTGGAAAAAGATTTTTGCCATTTGCAGACAACTGGATCCAGGTAATTTAACAATAGTTTATTTCTCCCTACTCCATGTTATGCCACAGACCTTAAGGGTCTTTTCCACCTTAAGGGATTCTTTGATTCTATGAAAGGAGAAATGCTGTTGGCTCTTGTTGGTGACCGCTTCTCTTGAGGGAGAATCCCAGAGTTCACAGTAGAAAAAAATTTTGATACTTTGAATTTTGATTCTTGACAGCCAGCAAGTTAGAAGTCATATAAACAAACCAGCAGGAAATAAAACTCATGCATATTCCTACTTTCCTTGAGCTTTACATCATGACTGCACTATTTTATGATTGGCACTAGGAAATATCACCAAGTTACTTTCAGACCATTTCTCCAATTTGTCAAATTAAATTTTAATTTTAATGATGTCCTCCAAGTGGCTCACAAGACAGTATGAAATGTTCTGCAGTGATTAAGTCATTGATCTCCAGTTTATTCAAGACATTAAACAAAATATCAAGACATTATACATAATATCACTTTCTATATGAGCACCGCACTTAACTAAGAGCAGGTTTTAACGAGCTCTAGAAGAATGAGCCTGGAGGAATGTTTCTCCAATTTGCAGTCACTGCAAATTAGAGAAAAGCTCACAAAAATATATTTGGATTTTTTTTCCCTGGATATAGTATTCAGACCAGAGACTAGACTTTTGCATTTTCTGACACCGACCTAACCAGGTTTGTCTGCGATTTTTCACAAATTTTTGTAAGAATTCCTTCCCTGCTTTGCACTTTTGGCTTCAAATATGCAACTCTGAAATATTTTGTTTTTATGCTCACTGAATATGACATATATACCATCAGTTACCTGCAAAACAGTGATAGCTCCTGATAGCTCAGCTCAGCGATGTCTAGAGACATTTTTGGCATTTTTGTCTTCTGTGGACCAAATCAAGTGTAAATTCCAGAGCACCACAGCTTCCCGTATGAACAAATAAGATAACATTAATTATCTTCTACCCTTCTGGACACAGCTGTAAGGCAGGGCTTGTTCACACCTCACTGCATTCCAGCAGCACACCTGTGCCAGCTTAACAGTAACAAAGCCCTCTCTGTGAATCACAGGCAGAATTGGCACCTCTTGTCCTACAAGAGAAGGAATATAGCTGAACCCAGGCACTTACCCATGCTCTAATTGTCCATTTCAATAGTTGTATGATTTCTCAGTGGAACTTGGCATGATACCCAGAGTGCATCATCTGACATCAGTTATTTTTCCACATTGACAGCCAAATGGATAGTTATGTGTATACTGGGAGAGAGGGAGGGAGGGGGGGAGAGAGAGAGAGAGCGAACCAGACGTAAAAGTGTTAATTTAAAGCAGCATGTTTGACAAAGTTTTCCCTGTTATCAATCTTCCTTTAGTTTTCTAAGTAGCCTTTTAATCTCTGCATTTCTACTCAAAGATCAAAGCCTTCCTATTTCTTGAACAGCCAACCCTACATTATGGTAATCCATGAAGTGCCAGGCTTTTTAAGAACCATATGTGTAACAATCTACAGGTTCTTCAGCAGACAGACAAAATTATGGCATCTCTGAGGAAGGCTGAGCTGACTTTGTGGCTAGCTGACTTTGGAGAAGCTAAGGTGTCAGGGTAAGCAGGAAAGTCTAGCCACTTTTTCCAAAGAGCTTGAGCGGGGTTTCATGAGGCAGCATGTTAGGATGCTTGAATTGTGATGAAATGACTATGTAGGAGGAAGCTTAGCACAGAAACATCTCTCTCCAAAGTCTTTGCTTATGGAAAAAAGCAGTTACAGGAAAGAGCAAAGATCCCATGTTGGGGGAGGGTAAATTCAGAAATCTGCCTTATTTCAAAAAGCATGAAAACTGTACATCTTTCTGCACTTGAACTATTCATACTCATTGTATGAGTAATCTGCACAGATGTTTCAGAAATACTTTTACACTGGGTAGGATATGAGTGCAACAGAATACAGCTTTTCACTTGTTTGGTGGCCAAAACAAAGAAAAGCCAAACTTGCCCATTGATGATTTAACCCAGTCAAATACTGGGTTAAAAAAAAAATAAAGTATGTTCAGTGTTCCTAGTTCAAAGTATTAGTTCAGTTCCTGCTGAACAAAATACACTGTATATAAAGAGTTAATAAGATAACTAATACAGTACAACCTTTAGTATGTGGATAACCAAACTGTTAAGTCACTGCTGTACCACATCTAATTTAGAAGCCCTTTTTCTGTATTATTAAGACACTGCACAGAGATTTCAACTGCTCATTTGGTCTGATGTAGGCTTTCACCTAAATGCTACAGTAAATTGACAGGGCACCTTCAGAAAAGCTGGCACCATTGCTGACTGCAGCTCCTAGGGGCTGCAGAAAACCTCACCTGCCAGTGCTGTTGCTGGGCTCAGCTCAGAAACATCACAGTTCAGCAGCAAAGGGCTGAGCTACTAGGCTGAACATTTTCTTGATAGTATTTTCAATGCCTTGATTTTCAGTCCAGAATTCACCAGAGTTAGGCCAACAAGAAATTCTTCATTCATTGCTTTCTTTTTCATACTCTGAGAAAAGACATCTGAATCTAGAAGACAATAAAATTTTCTCTTTCTAAAATTTTTCTACTTGCTCTGTAAGGTTATGATGCAGATCTGCTTGACTTAGTAACAAGAGTCTTGACTGTCTTGAAAAGGTTTCATTCAAGCTTCTTTAAAGATTTTTTAAAACATGTTTTTAAAACGCGTTTTGTGACAAAAACCAAATCAATAAAAAAATAGGAGAAATTAAGCTCACTCTTGATTTCAACAGAGGGAACCACTGTAAGATCCTTTATAATCTTCCTAAATGTTTTTTCATAAAGTATGTCACAGTGGGAACATGCTACATGACTTCCAAATTTAAACTGTTAAAAGATAATTTAAGAGGTTCCTGGTTATTATCTTTACACAATGTCTCCAAAACAGATGATGTAATATCAATAATAATGAAATTATTATTGATAAGCTAATATAATTGAAATCTATTAGTAATAGATTACTATTGAATTGTTAGGAGGTTATATTCTTCTTCAGAGATAACGTAAAGTGTTTTGTTCAAGACCTTTTTCAATGAAAATTAAAAACGTGCAATCTCTATTACCAAAATGAAAGAGAAAATCCTGCAAATGCAACTGTTATTTTAGTACACTCAACACATCTAGAGATCAGATGAAATAGTGCATGAACCGCAGATGATCAGTACAATAATCTGAGTAATTATCAAAATCTGTCTTCCCCTTAGTTTAATCAGAAACCTGTTTTTCCTAACTTATCTCCCTTTTCTTTCTCTGGCTTCTTCTCCACTTTAGTGTCTTATTTCTGAAAAAACGTGGTGAAAATAGAGGGAGAAGAATATTGGAAATTGTTATTTTAATGTAAAAACTCATATTGTTAGAGAATTTGTTTTGGAAACTGTTTTAGAAGTAGGTGTGTCACTGGGCAGGCTCTGCAGTACAAGAATTCTCAGACTTTTGGAGAAGCAGCATTATGGAAGTCACTAGGAGAAAAGACACCTTGATATATGTGCTTATACACGTATCATCAGGTTAAATAAAGACCCTATGTTTTATTCCTGCAGACATGATTTTAAAAGTTAATCGAAACATTCCCATAACATTAAGAAGTTTTTGCCCTCCTCATGGAACATCATAACTGATGAAGCAATTAAGTTTGAAACATCTTAAAATACTTTTGGTCGAATGCATTTGTGCTAAATGACTTCATTCTGACAAAGATCTATTGCTACTCGTAAAGACAGTGCTCATCTGTACTTCATTTTCAAACAGGCTTTTTCAAGAAACGCTTCGTACTGCAGAGCACGGGATGATGAATACCGCTTAGAAGTCACCACTCCTCTGCAGAGGGTTGACTTGTTCATGGGCCAGTTCAACAGTGTCCTGCTGACTTCAATTTCTGTCTTCACCAAAGGGAACCTTACCATTGCTAACCTGGGAACTTCAGAGGGCCGCTTCATGCAGGTAAACATTACCATATTACCACAGTAACTTCACAATAAAAACCATACTAGCCTTTAGCAGGACGGTGGAAAGGGAAGAGGATTATTACCCCAGTTTAAAATGGCATTAGAAAATTGAAATTACCAAATAAAATACAGTTTCTGTAATATAAAGTGTCTAATAGAGCATTCAGTATTTTAAGTGTTTACCTGGAGCTTGTGGTTTGAAACAGTGGTTGAGGAGCAAATTCTGCCATGAGCTCTGACTGTCTTAGTTCACAGAACAATTTTGGTCCATACAAACAAGAGTTCTTTCAAAGACTAAACTGAAAGCAGTGTCTTGGATAGACATCAAATATGCCTCAACCTCAGCTGGGGCAGAAAGGTCTAAAACAGTGACTGATTATTCAAACAGCTTCAAAAATACACTTTGTATGAATCTACACTCTAGAGGATCAGATTATACCTATTTAATGTAAAAGGCCAAGACAGTTTATAATGTAGAAGCAGGAGCCTCAGCATTAGTTGTTTCTATATACTGATCCACTCCTCTGGCTCCAAATTCCTTGCTAGTGTAGCCATAGCCTATGACTCACAACTGTAGAATTGAGATTAGCTCCTTCTCCACCTACTTTCAAGTTTCTCTGAATGTGTATTAGATTTTCAGGCTCTTGCTCACTCCTATCTCACTCTGTTCTGTTGGATTACAGTTCTTCCTGTCGTAAAACAAGTTTTTCATAAAAAGTGATAAATCACCCTCCTGAGTAGTCTGTCTTGCTCCACTAAGTACATAACTAACCTAGACAGGTAGATTATACTACATGACTTCTTTGTAGGTGACTAATTAAATAAATACAATGAATACAAGCAGCAGTCTTTTAAAATCTTGGCCGTAAAAATCAAACACCCGAAGACAAAGACAAAATACTTTGAGTTCACCCAACTTATTTCAAGCACTGTCATCCTGTAGTAACTTCCTTGGAGAGCTTGACTTCTCCAGCTGCCAGAGTCCAGCCTGGATGTGCATCTCAGCCTGGATCCTTCTTGCACCCAAGGACCTGTGTTATTTCGATTTGCCAGTACTATTTGTCTTCTAGAAAACTTCCTGAACTATTGACAGCCTTCTGGCCTTCTGGTTCTGTAGGCTATAGAGAGTCATCAAAGTTAATGAGAAGACCATCAGCTGCTGTGCCATTTCAGTTTTCCCATTTCCCATAAGCTTCCATTAGAAAATAGTTGGGCACGTGTAGCCTTTAATGGAACTAAACCTTTCCTTTCTTCTCTCCCTTTCCCTCCTCTCCTTGCCGCATGCAGTGCATAGGGTTATATATTGTTCTCAGAATATGCACCCTGTCTGGATAAAGGGAATCCTGTACCTCCAGTCTTCTGCTCAGACTGGACACAGAACCAGCTGCATAATGCAAATTCTGTAATGCTTCTACAGGCAGAGTTCAAAGTGATTTGCCACAAAGGACAGATGAAAAGTAGAGAAAATCATGTTTCTCTTTTCCTTCTCCAAAAAAAATTAACAAAACTTTCAATGACAACCCTGCCAGTTTTACCTTAACTTCCCATGATGACCTTGGTAAATTTAAGCTGCAGTTTGTCTTCTGTGCAGGAGATGCAAATGCCAAGAGCTGCACACTGAGCATGGGCCCAAACTGCACTCTGTTCTTGGAAGCAGATACTGATTCACACAGCAAAATGAGCAATTTGTTTAATCTTTCTGAAGTAATTTCCTTATCTACAAAATACAATTAATAACAACTACTCTCTTACTCCCAGCATTACTTCTGGGCTGTCACAAAGCTTTTAGGAGGGTTTGGTAGAAAGCACAAGGGAGCATTCTTTTTATTTATAATGTTCTTTAAATTATTCATTCAAATCCTGCAGCACACACTTCATTCAGATGTTTGCCCAGCTCAAGGAACAATTAAATATTTCCAGAATACATTTCCCATTCCTGGTTTAGTTGCAGATCAAAAGAAAAAGCTATTGTGTAAACTGCACATGGCTATTAGCAGAAATATTCTCATCATTGAATCAGACTGGCTTCAGCTACAGGGGGAAGTCAGCATTGGGTTCATATTGTACTAAATAGAAGCTCTTTCCTTGAGGGTTGGTTGCAGCTAGCAGGAGAATAAGCATACTGACTACCTTTAATGATACTACCTCCAAATAAAAGGTTGGTATTTGTTTTGTCTTTAAATGATTTTGGAAGGGATATCAGATCTGTAGGATACAGAAGACACCAATTTTTGCAGATTTTAATGTTCTCTTTTTTTTTTTTTCTCTAATAGTGATTTAGGAGTGCTTTCAAACATGTTCGTTAGGAAATGCCCAACTAAAGTAGATTTGTAGTGTTTCTATGGAAATATAGCTATTAACAGCAATGAGATTAAGAGCATTAAAAATTAAGTTATTATATGACCATTACTGGAGTAAAATGGGTAAAAAAATCAAGACAATCTAAGAATGGCTTAATTCATCAAAAGGATATCCCCAAAGACTTCCACACATTTTTAGCAAAGAAATGTAATGTTCTTTTTTGTTTCATTCACAAATTTGTTGGAACATATCGCAAAGAATCCTCAGCTCTTCTGACTTCACAGTCATTTGCACAGATCTTTTTAGGTCTTTGTACAAGTAAATATTGAATTTTCCTGTGCAATCTCCTTGTAACTTGTAGCTATTCAAAGCTGACTTCAGACACAGGCATGCTTTCAGAGAAAATTGGTTACAAAATTCTACCTATCAGGGATCCTGTTTTAAAACTTGTTGTACTGTGTTAGTATTTTGAAAACATATCATGCCAACTATTTAAAAGCAAAAGAAAAAGTATTCATGTATAGCTTTCTATATTTAGAAAATCAGCTCAGCCCTTCAAGGGCACCCAGTTCATCTTATATCTTTTTTGAAATACCAAACCTTACTATATTTAGACAATTTGGTTTCTGACATAAATTTCAGTACTAGTAGCCATCCATGAGATTAAAAGCAGTAGTAATAGAGTATCTCTGTCTTTGATGACAGCACCCTGAAGTGTCCAGATATGCATCAGCTTGGTGAAAGTAATGAACATTTGAATCACTTTTCTGCTGTATTAATTTAGGGTTTCTTTTATTTGTTACGAAAGACTGGGGGGGAGGAGGACGGCAGAGGAAGACCTCTTGAAAGCTTAGTGATCTTGTCATCTAAATTGAGTTGGAACTCCAAGCCTGCGCTGTGGAAGCCAGTAGGTGCAGCAGCAAGCTATTGAACCTGAGAGAAATTTATTTAAAAATGTTTCTCATATACCCCCATTATACTTGTTTATACTTGATCAGCAGCCAACCACTTGAGTCTGTCTTTTTTTCTTTCCACTTTCCTGCCATCTTTCTATCTCCCTTTGCTTTTCTTCTTCTACTCATCACTTTCTACCTTTGTGCATTCCTCTTGTCTCCAACTCTATTTCTATCTCCATCTATTTTTATCTCTTTATAGAACAGCATTACTGCAAAATTCAACAGATTTAACATGTATGTTTTTCCTTCTGTAGGTGATGGCTACCAGATTCTGGGCTTTTGATGTATTTAGGGATTTATCCCAATGAATAGTTCCTAACTTTACAAGTGATTCCCCCAAAGCTTATAGCATTACCAATAACTCAACTCAGATCATAGCCCACATTTTACTTATTTTAAAAAAGATTTCTAAAGAACCAGTAATAATCAGAATGCAAAGGCCTGTATGTTTTATCCAACCAAGGAATACTCACCTGTTGTTTTTTGCTTTTAGTTTGATAAAATAGAATTATTCACTTGAACAGCTTTGGAAAGCACTAAGACTGGAAAGTAAATATAGCCTCTTTCACTAAATGTTTCTTTTTTTTCAGCCAAAATCTGGAACTAAAATAAAATAAATCTGGATGGTCCAAATACAGAAGATGCATGTGTTCTTCTAAGGAGGATAATTAGGGCCATGAGGTGAATTCCAGATTTCTCCTGAAAAGTACTGCAGCCCATTCACATACTGAGCATGTTTTGGCTGCCTCAGAAATGTCAGATCTGTATTTGGCCATGAATAGATTGGAGTTTGTAGTCTACTAAATATTGTGGAGTTTCTGTTACAAAACAGACCAGTAATAATTTTTCTAAGACAGCTGACATGCATGAGACAGAAAAGAAAAATGGTTTTACTTCCTTCCTAAGCTGGAGCCTGACAACAAACTTTTTTTTCTCCTTCTCTTTTTTTTTTCTGCTGAGAAGTTGCAGCTGTTTCAGCCTTTCTTATTGTGCTTGTTTTCAGACTGTGACTGGGAACACAGACTGTAACTACAGCTGTTGGGTGCAAAGTGAATCAGGTATTTCACAGTGGTTATTTGATTAGAAAACAGCACCCAGTCACACTGCTAGAGCTGAGGGAATCAGATTTTCAGCTGGTCTAAAACGGCCTTATTCTGCTCAAACCAAGCTACTCTGAGAATACAACTCACAGCTAGAAAAGACACTTCTATTACCAGCCAGTATTTTGGGAAATTATCGTTTCTGGAAAAAAAAAACAACTCCGTGATATATTGAGATAAAATATCGTTCTTTTTTCTTCTTGGTTTCAAGGCATTTTGGGTTTTTTCTACCTAAAATTGGCATTATTTCAGAGAGTGTTTTTAGAGTGATGATGAAATGAGTTCTTCAGGAAGGGGAAATCTTTGTGGTAGTTCTGGGAAGTGTGGGATATGGGAATGTCTACCAAGATTTATTCTTGAAAGCTCACATTTGGTCTGGCTGTAACAATGAACAAGAGGTCAATGCCCTTGACATAGCAGAGGCTGGATTTCAGCCTGAGAGTATGTGTGGAAGCAGAATAGTGCATGTGCCCCCACACTTGAAGCTGGCCTCATCAACATAGCACCCCAGCAAAATCACCAACATTACTTGTTGGTGACCTTCTTGAGGAAGAGGGGACTAGAGAAGTTTTCACTGTATGTTTTGCAGCTAAAATGGGCAACCACTCTCTATAGATGCAATTTTGGCAGCAGGCCCA